ATGCATGGATAGATGGGTGATGGGTGATGGATGGATGGATGGATGGATGATGGAATGGATGGACCACCTGAGGATGGTCCAGTGTTAAAGCTAAATAAAAATTAATATGCTGTAGCAGATGAACCATCCTGGAGTGTTTCACTGACCCTCCAACTGGACAGGACTGTCTTGGGGTGACTGTATGATGCCTATATCCCCAAATCATCTGTTCTCTTGGTGTTGAATATTAAATTCTGCAACTTTAAGACTGGTTCCAGGAGTGAAGGGGGGGAAAGAAGAAGTGCAGAGTTTGTTATCAGAGACTGCACTGCTCCCCCGCATTCCTGCTCACAGACTGTGTTGTCTGTGGTGGACAGTGAGAGAGAGCTCTCTTTTGTTCTTGGTTAGTTTTCTGGCTAGCTGAGGCAGAGAAGCCCCCTGGATTGTTTTTTTCCCTTTTTCTGTTTTTCCTGGAGCTGTTTGAACCTGCTCTGGACTGAAAACCCAGCAGAGCACCGGGAGCTCACACCTGTGGCCCACTGAGCCTGGCCTGGGCCTGGGCATTCCCCAGCATAGGAGGGACTGAGAACAGACTGAGTGATCCGGGCAGCCACGGAAAGAACTCTTCTAAATCTGCCATCTCCTCAGAACAGCGAGAGGTTTTGCTGTTTGATATTATTCATTTTGTGCTGGGAGGTGTGTTGCCTGTTGAATAAACAGTTTTCTTTTTTTTTTTCCCACTTCTCTCCAATTTTTTTTTGTTCTTTTTTTCCCCCTGAGCCGACTGGGGGAGGGACTGCTTGGAATATTTTTTTCTGTTTTTTTTCCCTGGAGGGACCTCATTCAGAGGTTTCCTCCCAAATTTGTCCCAAACCAGGACAGGACTCATGGAGTGAATCAGAACATATATCTTGCAAAGTGATGGAGGTGAAAAAACTTCAGATTCTCTCACAGTGATGTAAACTGGGACCGACCTCAGTAGACACATCTCTGTTTAAAACTTGGCTAAGAGAAAACTAAGGAGTAGATATTAGAAGAATAATGAGACACCGGCAGAAGGAAAATGTTGTCATTTTCAGACTTGCAAAAGCAGAATTAAGCCCTGGAAAAAAGCCTGTCTGTTCCTCTGCAGCTTTGTTATGTCTGTATTTCTGTGGTCTGTCACTACACAGAGTGCTCCTACACCTTCGTACTCCTGAAGAGTCAGGAGGTGTCTCCCTGCTGCTGCTGCCAGATGTGCCTAAAGCTGAAGATCCTGAAAAGAATGTCCCTGTCTTGAGGTGTGTGCACACTGATGCTCACACAAAAATGGCTTTCAGCTTTTGAAATACATCTGATGAACAAAGCTAAACGTGGCAATATTTTGTCTTCCCTTTTTTATTAAAACATAGTAATAGAAACTTGCATCAGGGCTGGAGAGGCATGTTCACAGAAAGATAAACAGCACAGGAAGATGAAAGCTAACTGCAGTTCATCTTTAGACATGACATCTCATGAAGGGTCCTGTAGCTATTGCATGAAGCTGATGTAGTGTTACCCTACTAACAGCATGTGATGTTGTACTGATGCACCAGATTGGTGTTTGCAAAACGCTGCTGCCTGCTGGCCACTGGCATTTTTTCAGTGAGGACACATGAACTTTCAGGAATGTTTCTCACTGACTCACACCAAATGTGAGCCACAACCACGGGAGGTTTGAGCACATGATCCCAACACAGCATTTAATTCTTCTGCTGGCAGTGAGGCTAAGGATCAAGCTGTTAATCAGCACTCACCCTCTTTTTTCTGTTTCTTGTACCTGTAACCAGGAATGAGTGCTCCGGTCTTATAGCCAGGATGTTAAGGAATATGATCCCTTTTCTTCTATCTTTCTGATTTCCATGTAGCCTTAAATAACTCAGTCTCCCTTTGCTTTAATTTCCACCTGTCAAAATGGTGCAAGGATTGTAAAGCACCTCAGGAAGCTGTCTGAAGATAAATCTCTTGCCTCCCATTACCTAATCACAAAATACTTGGTCTTTCTAGGAGACAAGATTGATGCCAATCATGATTTCTTTGATGTGACCCTGGTCAATGTGATGGGATGCAAGGGTTTATTATTATTATTTATTTCTCTCTGAAATGTTCTCAGCTGGTACTTGACAGAACCAGTTGCAGAGTGCCCCAGATTGTAGGAGACACTCAGTGTTACATTCAGGAGCCATGTAAGCCACTTGCTGTGCCAGCACTGAGGCAGGTCCTTACCAAAGAATATCTTTCAGAAATTTTCAGTGTTCCTAAAATTATACCCTAGATCATTTCACATTTAGAAGACTCAGATCATGACTACATGTAGATATCACGTGTCATCTTTACCCTTAACTGAGCTAAGTGGAGACTTCCAGACAAGATGATTTTGCTGTACCACCAGCTTCAACAGAATTCAAAAACCATCTGATGCCTTTGCATCATGTGCATTGTGCAAGAGATGAGGGCAGGAACACAAAGAGATGAGTAATGAAAATAGTTGATTTCTGCAAGGGAAAAACACTGGGGGTGCATCAATATTTTCAGTGCCTCAAAGCAAAGATCATGTGAGAGGAAGATGAGCAGCAAATAAGTCAGCACTGCTTTGCTTTCCTGACAGTTCAGAACTACAGTTTTTGTAGACCCCCAGCACAAATTGTGCAATGGTAATTCCACTGCATAAGATGGTATAGGATATGTTGCATAGCTTAACCTTGCATAGCTGTAAATATTTTCCCCTGTGGGCTTTAGCTACCTGCACATTTCTGTCTCCATTCCATACTCCTGTGGTGTTGAATTTGTGGCTATTTTAAAGAGCAACTTTTATTCAGAAAACAGGAAGATTTTTCATTTGGGATTTTTTTTTGTTGCATAACTGTTTATGGCTGGGACTAAGCCATAAGGAAAGAAAACTTCTACCTTAACCTTCTCTAGTTCTGATTGGAAATATTCATAATGCGCATAATTGTAAGTATTTAGTGCACTAGGAAAGGTAGATGACTGAGTGGATTTTGGACATGCTAATTTCTTTCTTGCTGCATAATAAAGATTGTGCATCTATGTCATGTGGAGCTAATTTATTTCTGAGGTACCTGATGTGACCAGTAATGATTAAGTACCACACAAAAAAACAAAACCAAACCAGTTCTATGGGAGTTTCGTGGTTGTTATGATTGCAGCATCACAGGAACTGACAGGAGGTGGACTGGATGTTCACTAGATGCTTTAGCCCTGTGGCTGAGAGTTATTTTTCCTTCTGAATTTACCTACCTTGAAGCAAGCTGCTTTAGAAGTAACACAAATACCTAATGTTGTCCCTGATGAGAAACAACAAGAAAACATTAATTTGTATTATGCTTCTAAAGGTATGAGTTTCAGTAACATTTTTTTATTATGTAAGTGGATTGATGTTAGCACTTGAGAAATTGCAGCCTAGATTTCTATTTTGCTGAGGCTTTTTCGTGGCAGCCACTGTAGTATTTTCAGGACTTGTCTTCTTTCTGACCATGCCTGTTGCTCCTTGTCCAAAGTGCAGTCCCTGGAGTCTTGTGTGGCATGGGAAGGGAGAAGGCAGGCTCTTCCCCTCCTCTTACCTGTGCTGCTTTGGGCTGGAGTGGAGCTTAGTTTCCTTCCCAGGGGCTGGAGTGGGGCTGTGGTTTGGATCTGTGCTGCACACAGGGCTGATAACACAGAGATGTTATTGCTGAGCAGGGATTGCACAGAGAGCCAAGGCTTTTCCTGCCCCTCAAAGGCCAAGCTGGAGAGGGGCTGGGGGAGCCTGGGAGGTTGGGAGGAGAAACAGCCAGGACAGGTGACCCTGACTGAGCCAAGGGATGCTCCAGCCCCTGTGACATCATGATCAGTATGTAAAGGGGGAGGAAGGAGGAGGAAGGAGGGGATGTTTGCAGGGATGGTGTTTGTCTTCCCAAATCACTCTTCTAGGGAAAGGAGCCCTGCCCTCCTGGAGGTGCTGAACACCTGCCTGCCCATGGGAAGCAGGGAGTCAATTCCTTGTTTTGCTTTGCTTATGTGTGCAGCCTCCGCTTTTCCTATTAAGATGTCTTTATCTCAACCCATGGATTTTCCAGCTTTACCCATCTGATTCTCTCCACAATCCCACCGGTGGGGGAGCG